TGAAAACTTTGCCCTGAGGCAGCAGCAGCAGCAGCAGCAGCAGCAGCAGCAAATTGCAGAAAGCAAAATAAGACAAGGCCAAGAAAACTATCAGCTGCTGCTAAGGGAAAATGAAGTTCGTTCTGTTTTATTTATTTTTAATTTTTATTTTATTTATTTCTATTTATTTATTTGTTTCTTATTTGATTTATTTTTGTTTATTATTTATTTATTTATTTTATTTTGGTTGTAAATAAAATAAAGGAAATGATGAAGCAGATGAGATAAAATAAAACAAATAACTAAGCAAATTAAATTAAATTAAGAGAGAAAGAAAATATAATAATATGGAGTGCATGCGCTGCTGGTGCTGCTGCTGCTGCTGCGCAGGCCGCAGCATATCGGACTTCGCAGCTGCTGCAAGAGAACAGTTTGCTGGCAGCAGAATTGGACAAGGAAACTGCAGCAAACAAGCAGCTGCAGCAGCAGCAGCAGCAGCTGCAGCAGCAGCTGGAGCTGGCCAGCAGCAGCAGCGGCCAGCTGCAGCAGCAGCTGCAGCACCAGCAGCAGCTTGCTGCAGCCTACTGCAGCAGAAGCAAAACCCTAGAAAGCGAAAAAGACCAACTTGAAAGAGACGTAGCAGCAGCGCAGCAGCAGCTGCAAATAGAAGCAGCAGAAAACCAAAAAAACAAAATGCAGTGCAGCATTTGCTGCAGCAGCAACCAGCAGCTAGCTGTTGAAAATGAAACCCTCAAGAGAAATCTGCAGAGACTGCAGAAGCAGCTGCAGCAGCAGCAAACTCAAGAAGACGACAGGTACACAACGCTGCTGCTGCTGCTGCTGCAGCTGCTGCAGCTGGTGTTGTGCTACCCCTCGTGCTGCTGTTGTTGTTGCTGCTGCTGCTGCAGTTGGTGTTGTTTTATCACTCCTGCTGCTGCTGCTGTTGCTGCGGTAGTTGGTCTTGTGTCACCATCCCTGCTGCTGCTGTTACTGCTTCTCTTTGTGTTGCGTTACCATTCCTGCTGCTGCTGCTGCTGCTGCTGCTGTGGGCAGCAGCTAGTCTCCTGTTACTTCATTGTTGCTGATTAAAGACTTCTTTTGTCTTTTATTTATTTAAATTTTGCATTTTTATTTATTTATTTTAAATTTGTTTTTAATTGGATATTCAGAATGGAAAAAGAAAGAAAAATTGAAGACCTCCAGGAGCAGCTGGATATACACCAGAAACAAAGCGCGGATGTCATCAACTCCCTACGCGTTGTCCGCAAACCCTAAACCCTAAACCATAAACCCTAAACCCTAAACCCTAATAGAAGCTTTTGAAGAGTTGGGGGACAGAGCTGGAGTCCTGTGTAGTTCACTCACACTTTAAACCATTGTGCTACGACATTCAGTGCCCAAACCCTAAACCCTAAACCCTAAACCCTAAGTTGTTCACACTCTAAACCCTTGTTGTAAACCCTCTGAACAAATGCGCTGAGCTCTGATGGACGCCAAGGAGCTCAGTGCAGCACTTTAGGGTTTTTAGGTTCTAAGGCTTCCGCTTCGAGGGTTTAGGGTTTAGGGTTTAGGGTTTAGGGTTTGCGTGTATCTACAGCGGGTGCAGCACCTGGAGCGCTTTGAGGTTTTGTATTCTTCTTTGAAGACAGAATTCGAAACCCTAAGGTGAAAAGATAACGAATTAATTAATTAATTAATTAATAATTAATAAAACATTTAATTAATTAATTAATTAATTATTTTTCTTTTTTGGCTTCAGAGTTCAAAACCAAATTCTAAAAGACGAGAATGCCACACTGAGAGCAGAAGCCCAGCAGTCGGGGTAAGCAGCAGCAGCAGCAAAGCAGCAGCAGCAGCAGCTGCTGCTGCTGCCGCTGCTGCTTGCTGATATTATGGAGCAGGAATAAAAAGAAGATGAACAATAAGAAGACCTCATTTTCTCGTTGCTGCTGCTGCTGCTGTTTGCTGCTTCTTGCGTTTGCTGCTGTTTGCTGCTGCTGCTGCTGCTGCTGCTTCGCGGTTTGCTGTTGCAGAAAAGAAAAGGAGCTTTCTCGGGAAGAAAAGAACTGGCTGGAAAATCAAATGCTGCTTTTAAAAACTGAAAATTGCCAACTCAAAAAAGAAAACCAAAAACGCCGCGCGAGCTGTCGGTCGGCCACGCCTAGGGTTTAGGGTTTGGGGTTTAGAGGGAGTTTTACTGCAGCTGCAAGTGCAGCAAAAGTCCAAAAAAACTAAAGAAGCCAATTAGTTCAAAAGTGTTTTCAAACTTGATTTAAATTCAAATTCAAATATTTAATGCAGCACAAAAAAGTAAAAAGAAAAATAAATTAAAATATAATTTATATTTACTTCTCTCTGCTTCTGACCCTCTTTTCCCTTACAAAAGCGATTCTACACTTCTGCTGCTGCTGCTGCTACTGCTGCTGCTGCTGCTGCTGCTGCTGGGGTGTACGTACACCTGCAGGCTGCTGCTTGCTTCCCTGTGTTATTTCTGGTGTCTGTTCACCGCGTTGATCGAATTAAAGATTAATTTTTGAATTAAACTTGAATCAAATTAAAATTAAATTAAATTAAATTTAATTTAATTTAATTTGTTTTAATTCGCAGGCGCAGCTCTCGGCCCCACAACAGCAGCGGATTTTTCGAGCAACAAAACCAGCCTTGACAACCCGCTGTCTGTACACCTCAGCAGCAGCAGCGCAGCAGACCCCAGTAGCAGCAGCAGCAGCAGCAGCAGCAGCAATTTGAAAAGCAATTTGAATTTAAATACACCAAGCAATTTCAATTTCAATTCAAACTATAATCCACAAAGCAACGCCCCCTTTTGCTGCGGCTTCGACACTCAGCAGCAGCAGCAGCAGCAGCAACTGCAGCACATGCAGGTACCGCTGGTTCAATAAAAAAATAATTTGTTTTAATTAATTAGTAAATTATAATTTAATAAAATAGAAACTTTAAATTAATTAAAAGTAATACTTTCTAATTATTCTATTGATAAGTGCAATAAGTACTTATCAATAGAGTTTTTCATTTACTTTCTATCATTTATTTATTTGTTTGTTTGTTTGTTTACTATTCATTTATTTATTATTAATTAATTAATTTATTTACTTATTTTTTTTTTTTAATTCAGGGCAGCTGCGTTTCGCCGTGGGCGCCTGCGAGCGAGCTGCCTGCTGGTGCTGCTGCTGCTGCAGCAGCAGCAGCAGCAGCAGCACCTGCAGCAGCAGCAGCAACATTTGACATTTACGTGCTGCCTGACACCCCTGACCAGCAGCAGCAAATATGCACTTTGGAGAAGCAGCTGCTGCTGCTGTCAGCTGAGAAGCAAAAGCTGCAGGGGGAAGCAGCAAAATATCCAGCAGCAAACGGTAATTATCAATTAATTTAAATTTAATTTAAATTTAATTTAAATTTAAATTTAAATTTAAATTTAAATACATTTCTTAAATTCTATTTATAACTTCTTTTTTCGTTTTTGTCCAGAGAAATGCTTGAGACACATTCCAAACTTTGCTGCTGCTGCTGTTGCTGCTGTTATTTTTGTTGTTGCTGTTGTTGCTACTGCTGCTGTTGTTGCTAATGCTGCTCTTGCTGCTGCTGCTGCAGCAACCGCAGCTATGCTGCTGCTGCTGCTGCCAATAAACCTCTACCTAATATATTTTTTTCAATTTTAATTATTTATTTTTTTTGAATTTTTAACTCTGCGGCAAGTAAATAACTAAATAAACTAATAACTAAATAATTAATAAGTAAAGTTAAATGGTAAATAAACAAACAAGTAAATAAATATAATTAATTAAGAAACAAATAATTTAATTAACTAACTAATTAATCATTTTATTTTATTTTATTTTATTTTATTCAGGTCGGCCCCGCGAGCGTTTGCGGCGCAGCGAATTGGAAAATCAATTATCGCAAATAGACTGGACAATTCACAAAATAAAAAGCATTTTAAACAATCAAAGGAGACAAAGACAATAAACAAAACTAATTCCAAGAGTTGCTGCTGCTGCTGCTGCTGCTGCTGCTGCAGCAGCAGCAGCACGGCGCCGCAGCCGCTGCAGCAGAACTGCTGCGGCGAAACCGCGGCAGCACGCGGCTCCAGCAGCCAGAAACACTACACAGCCTGCTGCTGCTGCAGCAGCAGCAGCAACAGACCTGTTGCAGCAGCAGGTCTGTGCCTGCTGCAGCAGCAGCAGCTGCAGACCTGCTGCTGACGCTGAACAAACAGCAGCAGCAGCAGCAGCAGACCTGCTGCTGATGCTGAATCAGCAGCAGCAGCAGCAGCAGGATGCAGCTGCTTGTACAGATGCGCGTTTTCGTTTGTGTTTTGCTGATATCTCCGCCGTTCTCAACCAGAGTCTAGGGTTTAGGGTTTAGGGTTTAGGGTTTGCGCCTCTTGTGCGTTTGGCTTCGTTTTCTCTTTTTGCTCTGCTCCTCATCGGCCTCACGCAGCTCCAACTCTGTTTCTCTGCAAATAAAATGAAAAATAAAAATGAAAAAGAATAACTAATGGATTAAATAAACAATTAGTTAACTAATTAATAATTAATTAATAATTAATTAATTAATTAGTTAATTATTATTAATTAATAATAATGTATAATTAGTTAATTAATCATATACTAGTGAATATAGTTGAAAAGGTAAAAGAGCCGAAGAGATGCGGCCCACCAGAGAAGCGAGACAAACCCTAAACCCTAAACCCTAAACCACCAACCCTAAATCCTAGAAGCGGGAAAAGAACTAAAAAGCATTTAATTAAATTCAGAGAATTAAAAAGGAGAAAAATGGAAATAAAATAAAAAGGAAAAATACCAAAGTGTCTCGCCAGGTGTACAGACACCGCAGGGGCAAAAGGGGAATCTTTTTCTTTCGTTTTTTCGGAATTGAATATTAAATATTTAATTAATTTAATCAATTAACTAATTTAATCAATTATCTATTTCTTTGTCTATTTATTGTTTATTTATCTATTTATTATTTAATTAATTTATTTATTTATTTATTTTTTATTTCTACCTCAGAGCCTCCAGCGCCCTCTCGTGCAGCACCATCGCCTTCTCCTCCGGCAAATCCTAAAAAGAAGAAATAAATTTAAATATAAAAATAAATAAATAAATAAATAAATAAATAAATAATAATCTACATAAATAAAAAAATAAATATAAATAAATGAATGTAAATAAGTATAACTGAATAGGTAAGTATTAATTTAATTGAATAATAAACAGACAAACAAGTAAATACATGATTTAAAATAAATGTGTGATTTAAAATAAATACATGTATGGTCTAAAATGGTTTAAAATAAATAAATAAATGATTTAAAATAAATAATAGGTCTAATAAATAGAAAAATAAATAAATAATCCAATCAATTCGATAACAAATGAATGAATTAATTAAACAATAATGAAGATTGTTAAATCGAATAATGAATTAAGTAATTAAATTATTAAAATGAATTATAAGTAATAATTCAACAGTAAATCAAATAATCAAATACTGACTCAAATAAAAGCAACTAGAAGCAAATAGAAACAAAAATAAATCAAATTAAATCAAAACCAATAATATTAATAAAGTTAAATAATTAAATTAAACTAAATTAAATTAAATTAAATAAAAATAAAAAATAATTTACTGGATATTCTTCCATTTTCTTCCCGAGGGCAAATTCAATCCTTTGGTACATTTCGACGTCATATCTGAAAAGGAAATTAAAAAAATAAATAAATAAATAAATATAATTATTGCTATTGTGTTTAACAATCAAAGCAGCAACAGCAGCAACAACAGCAATAGGAACAGCGGCAGCAGCAGCAGGCACAGCAGCAACAGCGACAGCAAGCACAGCAGCAGCAGCAGCAGGCACAGCAGCAGCAGCAGCAGCAATGGCAGCTGACGCTGCACCAGCCTCTGCCCTTTTTCCTGCCGCTGCTGTTGCTACTGCTTTCACTAGGAAATTAGGATAAGAGCCCAACCAGCAGCAGATGCAGCAGCAGATGCAGCAGCAGCTGCAGCAGCAACAGCAGCTACAGCAGCAGCAGAAGCAGCAGCAAGACATACTGTGTGACTAAAGTCAGGGCCCTTCCGTTGCGCCCTGCCCGAGCTGTCCTTCCCACCCTGCAGCAGCAGCAGCAGCAGCAGCACAGGCTATGAGCAGCAGCAGCAGCAAAGCCAGCAGCAGCAGTAGCAAGGCCACCTGCTGCAGCATAACCGATAACACCAGCATCAGCAGCATAAGCAGCAGCACTAGCAGACTAAAGAGCAGCAAAAGCAGAAGCATAGACAACCGGAGCATAAGCAGCAGCAGCAACATAAGCAGCAGCAGCAGCAGCAGCAGCAGTTTGTGAACAGAGCCTTCAAAGAAAGTAAACAGCACCACCAACAGCAGCCGCATAAGCAGCAGCAGCAGAAGCAGCAGCAGCAGCGATAGCCCATGAGTAGAGTTTCTGGAGCCAAGAGACACACCAAAATAAACAGCAGCAGCAACCTAGGCAGCAGCATAGGCAGCAGCAGGAGCACAGGCAGCAGCAACAGCATAAGCAGCAGCATAAGCAGCAACAGCAGCACGACAAGCAGCAGCAGCATAATCAACAGCAGTCTAAGCAGCAACAGCAGCAGCAGCATAGGCAAAATCAACATAATCAGCAACACCCTCACCAGCAGCAGCAGATCAGCAACACCCTCACCAGCAGCAGCAGCACCAGCAGCAGCAGCACCCTCAGCAGCAGCAGCAGCAGCGGCAGCAGCAGCAGCAGCAGCAGCAGCAGCAGCAGCAGCAGAAGCAGCAGCAGCAGCAAGAACCTGTGGATGTAGTCTTTGGAGCTAAGGGGCACATCGAAATTAAGGACAAAATCGACTGCGGGAATATCGAGGCCTCTGCTGCCAACTTCTGTAGCAGTTAAAATCCGAGCTTCTGCTGCAGCAGCAGCAGCAGCAGCAGCAGCAAACAACAATCCCCAGCAATTGCTGCACTTGGCCTGCTGCTCCCGCACTTGCACAACGACTTGCTTCCCCTTGCAGCAAGGAAGAGGCAGCAGCAGCAGCAGCAGCAGGAAGCATCAATTACAACAAAAATGCAGCAGAAGCAGCAACGGCAACAGCAGCAGCAACAGCAGCAGCAACTACCAGCTCTGAACTTCGCCAGGGCTCCAATCCGCTGCGGCTGCGTCATCTGGCCGTGCAGGCAAACCTGCAGCACAGCAGCAGCAAATAGCACTTGCTGCTGCTG